CAAAAAAAAAAAAAAAAAAAAAAAAAAAAAAGGAAACAAGAAAAGAAAAAAACCCCATCATTCTAATATTATAGTTGTTAGCAATTCATAGAAGTTTAAAAGAGAATTAATACAGACCTTCTTCATTTCTTCAAATCTTCAGAGCACTGCACAAGTGTAACTTTCATAAAAGTTGAACGTTTTGTTTGAAGGCGTTCATGTTGCTGTTCTTGCAGATTATATTTTTATATAGTCTTCTATGAAAAGATGAATTTTGTATATGTTGATCGTGATCATGAAAAACCAAGTCACCAGGAGTCCAGTGATAGATGAATACAGTCTCACTTGCATAGTGACAGTTTGAGATAATGTTTTACCAGAAGAGAATCTCAAAGGAGAATCTTTCTCAGCAAGACCATGTTAAATGAAATAGGCAGATTAATTTTAATTGCTGGAGTTAGGTTTTCTAGGAACAGATATTACATGTTATGCTTTTTTTTTCTTACAAAGAAAAGCTTGTGTGAAGGGAAGTGAAGAAGAAATCATGGGGCTCATTTTGTTTATAAAGGCTTAGTGCCTCTATTTTAGGGAATACAGGACAGTGTTTGACATTTAAAAAAAATAAAGAGTGGGCTTATAAGTGACAGGACACTTGAGATTCACAGACTCTTATGGTCACAAATATAAATGTTCGTTTAATTTTTAGTATATTAAAATTAGATAATTATTTTAAAAGAATTTATAAAATTACTGGTTATTAACTTTGTTTCTGGTTATTGACTTTTGGGGGGAGGTACGGGGGAGGGGTCAAGTTCTTAGGAAAACAAACATAAAATATACTTGTGATTTCATGCAGTATTCACCAATAAGAATACAAAGTTACTTGGCTTCTAACTTTTTAAAAAAAAACTGTTTCCTTTAAATCATTTATAGACTTAAAATACTATAAGCACTCCAAACTCAGTGTGGATCCTCTGGATCCACGGGTTCTGGCTCCCTTGTTTCATCTGTGAATTGAAGATATTTTCTGGGGAAACGTGTGTCAGTACTGAGCATGGGCAGGTTTTCCCTGTCTTCCTCATTCCGGGAAAAGTAAGGTGCAGCAGCTATTTACATAGCGTTTGCTTTGTGCCAGGTTACTAGGCGTCTTCCAGGGAGGAGTTAGAGACTACAGGAGGATGTGCGAGGGTTATATGCAAATCAGTAACCCGGTGGGCGTGGACTTTAGGGTGTAGTGCGGGTTGGGGTCTAAGCTACTGTAGAAGTGCACTCCTCAGTGATATGTCCACTGGACTCAGCCTGGACGCACATTTCCTATCTTACCAGGTTCCTCAGGACCTTGCGATTGCGAGGCAGGTGCAGCGCTGCTGAGCGACAACTCCGGCCCCACATTTTAAAAAATAGTACTTTTAAAAAAGATATTTGTAAAATAATATTTTTACGATCAGGAAGTATATGCATTTTAGAGAAAATGCCATTTAAAGATATTTTCAAACCTTTCGATCAAAGAGGAAATGGAAAATGGACTGATAGGTCACTGAAAAAATCATAATAGAACGGCCCCTATGAAAGCGGGAGATACGGTGAAGGCTGTTCTCTGAGGCAAACGTGTAGTCACAAATGCTTTAGTTACTGCACAGCTGAGAAGGAAAATAAAACCACCCACTCAGGGTGGGAATCTGAACGTGCCCACCACGAGGCGGGAGAAGGCGGTAAGTCTAGGACAGAGGTTGGTGCTCTGGCTGATCTAAAAGCGTGCCTTGGCGTGTTTTAGGGAGGAGCGCCGGAGTCTGCGGCTGATTGCAGTTTGTTGGGCAGGGGGTGTCGTGTACTTTCGGTGTAAGCCAGCGCAGTCGGAACACAGGGCAGCCAGCAGTGAAGTCTTCGAGGCCTCCGTCCCATTTCCTTTGGACGGAAGACGTCTCTGCTGCTTGTGAGATCTCCTGCTGTCTGTCTGTCGGTGCGGCACTTCACCTTAACACGGAGTGACCTGGAGGAGCCCGCGCGCCTGCGCCTCCTCCTCCTCCCGTGGGTGTGCGGCGCTCCGCAGCTGCCTGTGGGAGAGCCTCTCATGATGTTCTCCTTCGCTTCTCGTTTCCTGTTGCTTCATCGGGGGCGTCATTCGCATTCTGTGGAGGCTTTGGCTCCCGCAGGGTGACTGCCGCGTCTCAGGAGGGACGGACCGACCTTCCCGTTCTTCCACCTTCACCGCCTGCGCAGCGCGCTTCCCTTCAGTTCTGCAGTTCTTAGGTTTTCCTGTCTGTCCAGTCAACCCTTTCACCTCTCTCCTGGGGGTAGCGGCCCTTTTTATTTGGTATTTCGGACACTGTCTCACTGAGTTGCTGGGCGCAGGGCCCCTTCTGCCTCAGCCTTCCGTCCAAAGTATGCCTGGGGTTTACTGTCATCTCCCCTGGCACCTGACTTCTTAGAAATGCTTTCAAGCAAGGTTTTTGTAATTTGTGTTCTGATAAATTCTTCAGTTTTCTAAATTCACATTAGAGATTTCTTGTTGGTATTTGCTTTAATGTACATACAGTTAAAAGTGAGCAAAGCTGCGTAGGGATTTTTTGAAGACAGGTTTCAGGAATTGATGAGTTTTTATCCATTTGGAAAAATCCGAAATTTCTGGAAGACAATTTGACCATGTCAAGGGCTGAGTTGCGTGAAGCAGAGAGTGGTGCAGAGGTGATGAGACTGCGTGCTGCATGGCCTGGGCTTGCTCCGTATTTGTATTTTCTTTACGGAGCGACTCTTGCTGGTGAAATCTCCGATCCTCCTCCAAATAAGCCTTAGCTGAGGAGGGGCTAAATGTAGAGATTCACGAAGAGGTTAATGCCAGATAATGTGACTGGTCTCATTGTTACTATGAGATCTTTTTCTTTGGTTTTTATTTTCTATGCTCACATTAAAGCATGCCCAGCATCTGTTACTTCTCTGATATATTTATTACCTATGTGAGTTTCTTCTTAAGGTGGAATTTAAGAATCATTTGCAATATTGCCATTGCTTTTCTGCCGAGGGCAGGGGGCGGTGCCTTTGGATGAACAATGGATACTGAAGACGCCACGTCACAAGTGACTCTTGAACCCCTGCAGCACAGAGCGTGGTAACTGCGGGAGAAAGTTGTCCCTGTCCCTGCCAGTGACAGCTTCTGTCTGTGCAGCTGTGACCGTGGCAGCTCCTATCCCTCTCCCCCACAAAAAACAAAGGGTCATCTCAGTGTTTGTGAGTTGTATTGTTGAACTCATATCTGCAGTGCACTAAAGATAGAAACCAATTCAGACTTTAATATTTAAAGATATATACCGTGTCTGTGAACTGGCACTAGCTGTAAATTATGTATGATACTTGTTGAACAGTGTGCTGCCTAAATCCATAAACTTTTTTTATAAAGTGCAAATGAAACTGGATATACAAGTTTGTTGTTATCTCTGACCTGAATAAGAATTTGAATATGCCATTACCGAATCACTGATTACTTGATTTCCAGGGTTGAGAAGTCCACTAAAAGTATTATTTTAAAGTTATATATTTATTTTATTATGTATAAAATTACTTAGTATGACTGTATTTTTCATTTTAGACTATTTGATGTGCTCATATTCCTTGCTTTTTTAGAAAACCTAATGCATATTTATGAAACTCTTCAGAATTCTTTTTTTTTGGTACTGGGGATTGAACTCGGGTCCTTGCGCTTGCGAGGCGGCCACTGAACTGCTGAGCTAAATCCCCAGCCCTCTTCAGAATTCTTGTATGTCCAAAAGAACTTTTTTGTTTTTAAAACAAATCCTAAAGTTTCCACTTTTATTGCAGTGGAAGTGCCATTTGTTTCCCCTCTGCTCATACACATAGGTGAACTTTATAAAGCAAGTTTCCACTGTGACTGTTGTTGAAAGCCAGCCTTTTCTCTAATCGGCGAAGCACTTAGAAGTTTAATAACCTACACTTTGTGTAGGTCTCTGATGAATAAGTCTGAGTTCTGATGAATGTCAGGGAATTGTTGACATCACTAGCACTTAAGTTGTTTTTGCCTCATGTTAAAAGCAAGAAACTAACTTCAGTTTACAAATATTTGTGCTATTACTATAAAGACTTCAGATTTGATTTAATGATCGAATCGTATATGTTGATATTAACACTTAACAGATGTTAAATCCGATGGGGGAAAGGATATTGAATTGGTACCGTTTTGTAATTCAGTTTTCTTAAGTGTTTCTGAATACTTACAGTAGACTGTTTTGAAATAACTTTATTTGCTGAAAAGGACCGTATAGTAAACATGTCAAGTCTTGTCTTTAGATTTACTTGTTTCTGACTACTTTTGTGAGAAAGAACTATATAGAAGGTGGCGTATTTGGATAAACAGTAGATCCTGAAGACCTCACAGTCACAATAAGTGACTTTTGAAACCATACGGTGTTGTAACAGCAGGAGCTATAATAGATATTGCCCTGGTGAGTGCACTGGGGCAAAGTTCTGGCTGAGACACTGCTTTTAAGATGATTGTCTTGAGGGCTGGGGATGTAGCTCAGTGGTGCCACCACCTGCCTCGCAAATGCAAGGCACTGAGTTTGATCCCTGGTACCAAAAAAAAAAAAAATGACTGTCTTGAGTGGTTACAACATTGGCCTGTTTTGTACCCACTTGTTTTATGAAATGTGTTCAATATCTTTTTTGATTATAATATTTATATAGTTTGCAGAATATACATGCAGTTTTTATAATTTAAAATTCTAAATTTTTAAATACAGGAAACTGTAAAACCCAATGTACAGCTTAGTAATACTTCATAAAGGGAGCACCTTGTCAGTCTCGCCCCGTGAAAGACAGATCCTTGCCTGGCACCCCAAAAGCTGTCCGGTTTAGTTCCCTCTTCTGAGGAATTCCTGTCCCATTGTTTTGGATCTGTCATTTTGTCGCCCATCTGTGCATCCCTCAGTACTGTCATTTTTATGGCTAAATCTGTAAATTTATTATAAGGAGAGGTGCATGGAAACTAAGATGGAGCACACACTGTGGATTGCTTTCTTTTGCTCAGCTGTCTACTGGGAAACCGAAGCTATTCTTGTTTTTTCTCTAACTGGGAACCAGAATTTTTTCTCCATATGTTAAGAATTTTTGGGTGCATATCAGACATGTTCCTTTCTTTTAACCTAACAATACTAAGCGCAATTTCCTGAAATGAACAGAAATAGACTGTGTTTTTGGACTACTCAAACAAACACAATTATTCTTCAAAACTCTGTTTAGTGATTTTTTTCTCTAACAAAATTAGTTAAAAGCATACTGTTTTGTCTAAAGAGTTAGATTTTTTTTTAACTACCAGCTTTATTTTTAGACAACGAGATGTGACTTCCTTCTACTGTTTGATTGCTTTAGCAGCTTTGGTTATATAAGAGATTATTGGATTGAGCTGTGATCATCTTTGATAAGTTTCCCCATTTTACTGGTGGATTTGCCCACATCACTTCATCATTGTTCAGCTGTTTTCATTTGCTGTCTCTGCTTTACTTGGGGGTTTGTGAGCACTGAGCAGAGCCCAGTGGTGTGTGCAGACTGCTGCCTGGTGTCGTGTGAGGTGTTGCTCATCTGACCTCGGTGCCTTCTGCCCTTCTTTGAAGAATGCCAAGCTGTCAGCGGAGGTGGAGCCGTTCGTCCCCCAGAAGAAGACCCCGGACCCATTCATGATCCCCATGGTGCTCCCCAGCGACACTGGAAGTGTTTCTGGTGTAGAACCAGCTCCGATCCCCAGCTACCTGATTACGTGTTACCCATTCGTTCACGAAAACCAGTCCAATAGGTAATTTCTCCATCATTTCCTGTATTGTGTTATGGGGGGGCACTGTACAGCATGGCAAAGTACACTTATAAACATTTGTCTCTGTTTATTATTTAAGAGAACTAAGTAAAACAATAATATAGAAAATTGAACTTTTTTTTTTGAGACACGTCCTCACTGTAGTTCAGGCCGGCCTCGAACTCACTATGTGGCCCAGGCTGGCCTTGAGTTTGTAGTGATCCTCCTGCCTCAGCTTCTTGAGTACTGGGATCACAAGTATGTGCCACCTTGCCCAGCTAAACTTGAACATACATTCATTCATTCATTCATTTATTTTTTTCTGGTACCGGGGATCAAACTCAAGACCTTGCACGTGCGAGGCAGGCACAGTGCCACTTTGCTAAATCCCTGGCCCTAAACTTGAACCTTTTAAACATGGATTATTTTCTTATTCTTTTTAAAGGAAATAGGGTTTTTGGGGTTTGTCCCTTTTATTAAAAGTCATTGAAATGTATTTGAGATAAATGGACCCAGAGGGAGAAAGAAGTATTGAGGAACCCTTTTCTGAGGCTGGACAGCTAATCTGTCTGTGATATAAGGAAAGGCGAAGGGTCCGTCTTTACCTGTAGAGAGTCTGCAGTTACTTCGCAGGCGTTCCCAGACTCTGACCTTTGTGTGTTTTGGTCGCAGGTGGTCAGCACAGGGCCTGTGTCACACGGTGACTTGGGAGTCTCCATAGCCTTGCTGCCCTTCTTGGGCCGGGCGATTGGCCCGTCGTCAGTGTGGCTCTCCTTACTGATGTGTAGAGGTGTTTACACCTTCTCACCGTGATGCCATGCACAAAATCTTATGTTTGGGGCTCAGTGGTGCCACCACCTGCCTCACAAGCTCAAGGTCCCGAGTTGGATACCTGGTACCCAAAAGCAAAAACCAAAAATTGTGTTTGTGTGGCACCATGGGATTTGGGCGAGGCAGCTGCTGTCCTGGGTTCTGCCCAGCTCCCCTGTGGGTTAAGGCAACTGGTGCTTCCGCATCGCAACCCTGTAACTCACTGTGGCTTTCTGGGAAGTTCTGGAAGTTCTGAGGCCTCTAAATCACCTTTTCCGATTCAAATGTCCAACTTCATATTCTGAGATTTTTTTAAGTGGTGCTGGAGATTGAGCCCAGGGCCTTTGTGCTGAGCTGGCTCTCTGGGATTCTTAGTTGTCTCGAAGGTGGGACAAACAGTAGAACTAAGGGATCCTTCCGGTGGAAGTTAGCATTATATTTAAATGCTTTGACCTACTGGATACTGTAGAAGGTGATTTGGAACTAAATTTAATAGCTGTTTTCTGATGGGCAGAAGAACCACGTGTGCAGTATAAATTGTGTCCTTGTTGTGCCATGTGATCTCTGCGAGTGCATGAGAAAGTCAGCGGGCAGATTGGTAATTTTAGCACCTTCCGAGTTAGTGGCAGCGAACGTTTTCCCATTTGGCTCGGTCACGGCCTCCACCCCCTCACTCACAGCCACCTTCTCCGGGGACATGGGAGACAGGACAGAGCCTGCTGGGGAGATGGCAGCGGAAAGGCTTGCCTCTTCTCTCCTTTTCCTTTCTGGTCTGTTGCCAAGGAGTGGAGCTGGCCGTTTGTTTTGTGTAGGGGAGGCTGGGAGAAGGCGGAGAGAGGAGGAGGAGCTCGCCTATGTGATGATTGCCTCCCGCAGTGGTCACCACCCTCTGCTTTGCCCTCTACTTTGCTCAGGAGGCTTACTGCGTGGCTACGCTGGAGCCAGACCCAGCAGCCAGGTGTCTGACTGCTCGGCGGGAATACTTCGAAGGGGTTGGGGCAGACTCATGGACCACCGGGTTGGATTTCTTTCTGCTGCCATTAGATGGTTATTACAGGTACATGGCGATCTCTGATTACAGCAGAGGAATTTATACCATGGTGGTCATTTTGTTTTCCTTATTGTTACGAAGCCACTGTTCTGTACTTTTTCTTTTGTTAAAAAGAAGAGATTGCGCTTTAGCACCACCTTGAGACTTGCGAGGAGACATGTCCCCTGATCTGGTGTTGCAGGCAGTTTCCTGTGTACGGGAATGACCTCCGATGGCAGCAGCCCAGCCCCAGCCCTGCCGGACCGTACCTCGCCTACCCCATCCTGTCTGCTCAGCCACCCGTCTCTGCGGAGTACACGTATTACCAGCTAATGCCCGCGCCCTGCGCCCAGGTCATGGGTTTCTACCACCCTTTCCCTGCGCCCTACTCTGGCACTTTCCAGGCCGCGACCTCCGTCAGCACTGTGGCCACAGAGTGCTCGGAGCGTCCAGGCCAGCTCGGCCAGGCCTTCCCACTGTCCACGCATCGCAGCAGGAACAGCAGCCGGGGACCAGTCCTGCCCAAAGTGAGTGGCTGCTTTGGGTTGTCTTTGAAAGTCCCCGTTTGTGTTGCTGATACTCGGAGAAGTTACTGTCATTTAGTAGTAACCATGGTGTGGGGACCACACTGATGAGGGAACCGTGTGCTCATGGTGGTGATGGCTCATGCACATCGCAGTATTGGATTCTTCAGAAATCAGCAGGGAAAGAACACTTGTGTCTCATTAAACCCTTCAACTTCACTCTTTCTATTCTGTGAATTTTTCATGGGAACAGTGCTTTGCTCTGTAAGAGGTGCTTCACTCTTAAAGGGTCTTACAGGGCTAAAAACAGAAAGACACACGTAAAACCATTTTTATTTGGGACCAGCCATTTGACTATTAAAAATAAAAGAAAAAGAGGAAGAAAGAAAGAAATGAAACAAAAACCTTGAATTCACAAGAGAGTTCAGGTTCATTCTAGGCTGCTCTTCCGTTAGGCCTTCCTCATAGTGTCCATCCAAGGAGCTGTTTCTAGTCCACAGTTTGGAATCCATGAAAGAAAGACCCGTCCTCTGACCGGTCAGCATCAAGGACTTCGCACTTTCCTTGGATGCCACTAGCCCGACTTCCTCAGTGAAGTCTCTGCTACCTCCTGGAATAATTTTTACAAATTCAGAAACAAGCAGCAGAAGTTACTTTAAAAAGTTTCGGTCTTTCTTCATGGAAACACTTTGGGTCAAGGGAGATCCTTTTTTGACCTTTGAGAATGAAAAGAAATAAATGTTGAAAATAAGAGAATAGTGTGTAATTTCCAGATTTTAAAAAAACGTGATTTCGCTGGGCGTGGTGGTGTACCCTTCTCATCCCAGCACTCGGGCGGAGACAGGAGGATCGCCATGAGTTCGAGGCCAGCCTGGGCTACACAGTGAGTTCAAGGCCAGTTTGAACTACATAGCGAGACCCTGTCTCACAAGAAAAAAAAAGAGTGTATCACCAGCCGTTCAATTTAGAAAATTAAAGAAGTTAAATTTAGAATTCTGTGTGTAACTTGTATAAAGTGAATGCTCATTCTTTAAAGAGCAAGGAGAGTTGGGCTGTTTGGGGGTGCTGGGGGTTGAACCCAGGCCTTTGCACTGAGGTTTTCCCGAACTGCTCCTTTGTGCAGACTGGCCTTGAACTTGCAGTCCTCCTGCCTCAGGTGCTCGATCACAGGCATGCTGTGCCACGCCCAGCTTTGGATCCACTTTTCTCTTTGTGAGCTTCAGAAAGTCTTTTGCACATTATTACTACTATGAAACTAACATTTAGCTTTGGAATAAGTTATATCGTTGTGACTAAAAATCAGGCCCTTGTGATTTATTATCGACTGAGAAAATTTTAAAATGTACGTAACAAAAATGAATTTGTATTTTACTGTTAGTAGCATTGACGGTCACTTGACAATTAGGGTGCAGATCTGTGCACGACAGGTTATGGTTCAGCCTGTTGCGCTCCACCCAGACCCTCACAAACCCTAGTGCAGTGACCCTGCTCCCGCGGGCGAAGAGCCATTCATTTGTTGCATAGGTTTAGATGTATTACATTATGAATGTGTGTTTTATAATCTTTGTTCGTTGAACATGTTCCCTTTTTTTTTAAAACTTACATCAGCAACAGCTTTTACAACAGCACATAAAAAGCAAAAGGCCACTGGTGAAAAACGTAGCTACTCAGAAAGAAACTCACGCAGCAGGTCCTGATAATCGGTCCAAAATTGTGCTTCTGGTGGACGCATCTCAGCAGACTGGTAAGGCGAGGCTGCTTCTGCTCATCACTGGTGTTTGTCTGTTTCCTGTATGCTTTCAGTAACTGTGCACGGACTCCTTTCCAGGTTCCAGACTTGGCCCTTCGTTTGCCCTGCCACTTTGTGAAATTCTCTAGGAAGCATAGAGCAATCCGTGTCTTTAATGTTCTTCCCACTTACTTACAGGTTTTGGGACACTTTTGAGCAGGGCTTGGGATTGTTTCCTCTTTCGTAGTACTGGAGCAGTTCAGAAAGCACAGATAGAATTGTGCAGATTTGAGGGGCTTGTTTTGGTAAAAACAAAAACATGTTTTTATAACTAGATGAAGGCCCTAAAACATTCTGACACCCTATAACTTCTTTGTAGAAAGAACTTAGTAAGTTTCCCATGCCACATTCATGCATAGAATTGAACCAAACCTGTAAGATAATTATGTTTGTTTTTATAACTAGATGGGGGCCCTCTAAAACATTCTGACACCCTATAACTTCTTTGTAGAAAGAACTTAGTAAGTTTCCCATGCCACATTCATGCATAGAATTGAACCAAACCTGTAAGTGATAATTATGTCACTTCAAAAAGTAAACTTTTTTTTTTTTTTGTACCGGGGATCAAATTCAGAACCATGTGCTTGTGAGACAGGTGGCAAAACCACTGAGCTAAATCTCTGGCCCAACATTTTAAAGTAAGATAGTTCTTTAAAAATGTTTAAGGGGCTGGGGATTTAGCTCAGCGGTTCGGTGGCCTGCCTTGCAAGCGCAAGGACCTGAGTTCAATCCCCGGTACCAAAAAAAAACTATGTTTAAGACTGTATGTAAATATCAAATTTAAAAAGTTTTATTGTAATGATGCGTAAGAATGAGATCCTCACAGTGTCCCAGATCTCTGAGTTCCTGTCAGCAGTCCCAGCCTGCCTCTCGCTTCCACCGGTCCTCTGTAGAGTAGATGACTGGCTCTACCCACTGTCACCGGCCCTAGGAAAAGGTCCTTGCTAGCGGTCCGAGCTCAAGAGTTAGGTCTCTCAGAGTACAGTTGCTTTTCGTCTCTTCAACCTCAAGTCAGGTCTCGGTGGAAATGGGTGAGATAGCTTATAGTCTTTTTCATGCGGACAGTGCCTTTCTGTCGACTCTCTGCTCACATCCCCTGTTTCAGTCACTCACAGCAGAGGAAGGGCCAGAGCCGTCCTGATGACAGAACAGTGGCTGTGGCCTACGAGGTAGGGAGCAGTGGGTGTGACTGGTTGGGGCTTGGCACTGTGGAGAAGTCACTAGGCGCAGTGGGCCGGTGCGTGGCTCCATCCTGACTGCAAGGCAGGGAAAGGAATCACCAGGTGACACAGTCCTCCATTCTCTCTGTGGGTCATTCCGCAGCCTGTCAACCCCGGGAAGGCATTGTTTTAAAAAGTTCCCTTCACTGCGTTAGTTGGCTCATTGAGGCACCCTGAAGATAGCTTCTGAAGCATAAGAATTGGGAAGAGAAAAGAGGAAGGCGTAATTTGAGTAGAAGACTGTACATTCGGTCAGCACCTTTGTTCTTTAGTTTGTTTTTAGTTTGGAATTTATTAGAATCAGTAAGAGGATTGAATATTGTAGTTTGATAAGAATACTGTATGTCGACGCCGGGCGTGGTGGTGCACGCCTGTAATCCCAGCATTTGAGGCTGAGGCAGGAGGATCGGTGTGAGTTCGAGACCAGCCTGGGCTCCATAGTGAATTCCAGGTCAGTCTCAACTACATAGTGAGACCCTGTCTCAAAAAAAAGAATACTGTATGTCTATTTGTAACAGATTTTTACTTCTGAATATAAGCTCGTATTAAGAGTTTAATAAATGCTAGGTAGAAGGTAGTGTAGAAAAGTTCACAGCATTTCAGTATGCCAGCAAGGTGAGACTTAAGAAGAGAGAATCATTTACAAAGCAACTGAGTAGAGTTTCCTTGAATAAATTCTAGTGAAGCACATATGCAGGAAGTGTAATACTGCATGAGAGGACCCTAAGAAAACCCTAAATGCTGTGCCCCTGCAGGATTATCTGATACGACAGCGGCCGTGCGGGTTCGATGGCAATCCCCGCGGGAATTTCTGGGGACCTTGACAGAGTGATTCTAAAATTACAGAGGAACAGTGGTCTGAGCCAGGAAGTCCCTGGAAAGGAACTTTTCCTTTAAAGAGTACTGCTTAAAAGTCGTGCTAATTCCAATGGGGTCACATCCTCAGTGCAGGTGTAAGAGTGAAACGAAATAGCCCAGAAATGGCCCTGCTGCCCCCTGACTTGTGCCCCCCTCAAATCCGTTCCAAATCGACTGAGAAAACTGATGATGGAAGAAACCTAGGCAGATATTTGTGTGATTGTAGGGATGGCACTAGCTCCTTGCAAAACTCAGAATTTTAATTTTTACTGAAAGTGAATACCAGCTGGGTCTGCTGGCACATGCCTGTGATCCAGGAGGATTGCTTTGAGTTCAAGGCCAGGCTGAACCACATAGCACAACCCTGTCTAAAAAAAAAAAAGTGGGTAATAACCCAACTTGCGAAAACTTTTTGCTATGTAACATTGACAGTTTTTGACCGTGTGAAGAACCCTGAAAAGGAATCATATGTGATAAAGAATTCATAAGTCACTAAGAAAATGATCTCATATGCCCCGGGGGCCTGCGGAATAGAGTGCCAGGCACCGAAACAGCCTGGCAGGACTGTAGGAATCTTTCCCTGCTGTGAATGTATCTGAGTGGAGATTTCCCTTAGAAAGAGAAGGGGCTGTTTGATTTAAAGTACATGTTATTGTAATCCCAGCTAGTCAGGAGGCTGAGGCAGGAGGCTCACGAGTTCAAGGCCATTCTGTGAGACCCCATTTCCAATAAAAATCAAAAGGGATGGGGACGTAGCTCAGTGGTAGAGCGCTTGCTTAGCATGTGTGGGCTCTTAGACTCAATCCCCAGTGTTGGTGGGAAGAAAGCACATTATTCCAGGACAAGAACACAGAAACCTCCTTCGTGTCCTTCAGCAGGGCACAAATCATAAAAATACAGGATACCCACTCAGTGGAATGTGAGGCCATGTTTTTGTGTAATTACAAAGAAATGATAGCACATATATACACAGCCCAAGTCTAACTTGTATCACTGTTATATAAAAATTAGGCGTGGGTAGACATGTGGAGAAAGGATCACTTGTGATATACTGGGAAATGATTTTAAAAGGTATTTTTTTTTCCTTTTTTCAAAATGTCTTACTCTAATTATAATTCATGAAATAAAAAATAGGGCCAAGGATTTAGCTCAGTGGCACCGTGCCTGCCTTGCAAATAAGCTCAAGGTCCTGAGTTCTATCCCCAGTACTGCAAAAAAACAAAAGCAAAAGCAAAAACATAATAATTAAAAACAAAACAAAACAGGCAGCCCAGTAGAAAAATGGGCAGAAAAATAATCCAAAAAGTAAAATTAACAAAAATTTTACAAAAGTTATTAGTGGTGAAGAGCATTGCAAAATACACTTATACGGGTGACCTCATTTGTAAGTGGGAAGGGACGAAGGAACCCACGTGGACCCCTTCCCTTCCCCTGGGCCGAGGTCTGGACCCGGAGCCATGGTCCAGCCCGTCTCACCATGTTACTAAGTCTCTGGGTTGGACGAGCTGCCTTTTTGTACGGACATATTGGCAGAAGTTGTGTAGATGACAGCAGCCCAGCGTGGGATGGACACGGGGCCGGGGGGACAGTTAGGGCATGTGTGGTTTGAACACTTCTGGAGACAGCCAATCTGAAGTTGAATCCTAGTCCCGAAGTCTCAGGGCTGTTTGCTGTGGGGAAACCCCTATCTGTGAGAACAGGGGAGCAGCGCCCCAGCTGGCCAGAGGGTCCCCTCAGTGTGAAGGTGCCTCCAGTGGCCTGGAGACCGGTGTGGGGGCAGCACAGAGTGGCAGCAAGGGTGAAGGGCACAGCTCCAGGGAGCCCTGAACGAGGGAGGGAGAAGCATGGCTTCAAGGCGGGGTTCGCTCTGCGGGAGAGGGGTACACGGGGCCTCCAAAGATCAGTGATTCTCTCTCCTGTGTGTGTGGTACTAGGGACTGAACCCAGGGCCTTTGCCCTGAGCTTTGTTTCCACGTCTTTTTCGCTTTTAAAATTTTGAGTCAGGGTCTGCCTGCATTGCCACAGCTAAACTCAACCCTGTGATCCTCCTGCCTCAGCCTTATAGTACTGGCATTACAGGTGTGTACCCCACTCTCTTGATTTATTTCCTTATGACTTTGATATAACTGGAAGTTACCAGTTTGGCCCTCACAAAGAGTCACTGCACTTCTCTTGCTTGTAGATTTCCCGACAGACATCGCTAACAAGTCCCTCTCAGAGAGCACCACCGCCGTGCTGTGGAAGTCCAAGGGTAGGAGGAGGAGAGCGTCCCACCCCGCGGCCGAGTCCTCCAGCGAGCAGGGCGCCAGCGAGGCCGACATCGACAGTGACAGCGGCTACTGCAGCCCCAAGCACAGCAACCAGCCTGCAGCGGGGGCCTTGAGAAACCCTGAGCCCGGGACCACGAGTGTACGTGTCTGCCTTCTTGTCTGCTGCTGCCTCGGGCTCCTCTGCTAAAGCTGAAGCAGCTACTTTTGTTAAGGTTCCTAGTGCAGTAAGATGGCTAAAGAAATTTTACATGTTTCCATTAGTGTTGCTGAGACAAAATACCCGACACCCTAAGTTAAAGGAGGAAAGGGTTATTCCAGCTCACAGTCTGTACAGGTTTTAGTCCATAGTCAGCAGGTGCAGAGGTAGAGTGGCGTGGCAGAGGGGCGTCGCAGAGGAGAAGCAGTCCATGGCAGTCAGAAGGCAGCACAGCAGAGCAGCAGCAAGCAGAAAGGGACAGTAGGCTGTCTCTGTCTCTTACATTCTGTCCACGCCACCTGCCTCAGGGTGGGTGCACTCACACCCAGGGTGGCCTTCCCATTATCCACGCCCAGCACTGTGCCAGACTAGTCCGTGGGGCAGTTCGGCTGTCACACACCCTGGATCCAGCCCCACCTCTGAGTGCGTGGGGCTTTGGGAGGACATTAGGCACAAGCCATAACAATTGGTAAGACCATTATTGGAGGAGTTGTTCTTAGCCAATCCCGAGTGCATGTCACACAAGGCCAGTTATGAGACGATTTGCAGAGTATGCTGTGCTGACTTCTAAGTGAAAAGTAACTGTTGTCTGTGTCTCTTTCTAGCACGTGGAGTCATCGGCATGTGCAGGTGTGTATTTTCTGCAGAGTATTTTTGCTCTGTTTTCTTCTTTGTGTCAAGATTTTTATTTTAAGTATGAGCCTTGCCGTTGCTATTTTTAAAACAAAACAAAAACTAAAAGGCAAAAAACTGCAAATGTTCCAGATTGTCGCCTTATTTGAAAGTGCAGTGTTGCCAGCTGCAGGTATCTGAAAGGTGATGTCTGTCACTAAGAACTGCGATTCCATTTAAAGTTGACACAAAGCATTTCTGTGACTTAATTTAAGTGAAATTACAGAGCAATTTAGATTTTGGCTTCTTCATTAAGCAAAGCATATCTTTATCTATCTTTAAATATTTGTTACAGGTGGTGTAAATTGGTCCAATGTAACTTGCCAGGCAACTCAGAAAAAACCTTGGATGGAAAAAAGTCAGACATTTTCTAGAGGTGGAAGGCAAACTGAACAAAAAAATAATTCACAGGCAAGTTGAATTAGGTTGGAGAAATTTGGTTAGGTATGCGATGGACTGATTTAAACTTCTTGCAGTCATGGTGTAGTGGTAGAAGGATGGTGTCCTTAGTTTTTGGAGATGTGTATTATTCAAAAGTGAACTATCATGATATCTGTAACTTTTTTTTTTCCTCAGTTCTGGGAATCAAACTCAGGACATTGCGCTTGTCAGGCAGGCACAGTGCCACTGAGCTGAATCCCTGGCCTGATTTCTGTAACTTTAAAATTCCTCAGCCAATGAAACGTAGTTAAATAATGAAACGGAATGGTAGCAAGTTGAATGAATGTGGTGTGTCTCTTGGTGCCTGTTATACCGTTTTTCTACTTTTCTGTATAGTTGACTATTTCATAGTTATAAAAAGAAAAACCTTCTGCTACTTCTTCAGCAGCTATATCTTTTTCTTATCCATATACGAAATTTAGAAGCATTTTTGTTGTTGTTTGGTTGTGTGAGACAGGGTCTTGCTTTGTAGTGCAGGCTGGCCTCGAACCTGAGTGATCCTCCTGCTTCAGCCTCCTGAGGGCTGGGATAACAGGTGTGCACCTCTGAACATTTACTGCTTTAAATACTGGTCTTTGAACGTGGGACTGTGGCTCGGCCCCAGGGAGCCCCGTCTGTCGGTGGCAGTGTGGTTGGGATGGCTGCCCTGGGCCTCACTGTGGAGGGTGAGGAGTCCCATCCAGCTGCAGGAGAAGAGGGCTGTGTGGCACCCTCAGGTGCCGTGACTGCATCTCTCAGCTGTGGGACCGGCCTTATTAATGTCCAGGTTTCCCTTCCATGTTTGGACAGCCCTGTTGAGTTCCTGATGCCCAGTTAGCAGGTAAAGCTGTCTGTGACTGGGTCTGCGGAGGGAGGGGCCCAGGCCAGAGCAAGTCACTGATGGCTTCCACAGCCCGGGCGCTGCCAGGAAAGGACTCGCTCATTTCTGCGCCACCTCGCCGCGAGGCTGCCAGGAGCAGGCAGGACAGCTCCGTCCCAACATTGCACAGTGTCGGCTGCTAGCCTTGTGAGGCAGCCCCTGCTAGCTGTGTTTGAGGGGAAACAAAGGAGCTGAGAAGCCCTTCACGTAGGTGGGGACGGTGTACAAAGTTGGCTTGTCTGCTGGAATCCTGCCGGGGCCATTACTGCTAGTCCTGCCGAGCTTGGTCTCTGCTCTTGCCCCCTGGAAGAGATAACCTCGGACGGAAAACGAACTTGTAACCAGGAAGGGATCTGAGAGACTACCTGTGGTGCAGGGTCTAAACAGCTGTAGCCTGACGCTGATGTTTGTTTCGCTTCTGTTTCTGAGGCTTCCTTATCTCAGATACTTTCCTTAAGTATAAAGCTTTAGAAGACTTTTAGAAGTCAAATAAATATGTGCCTGTGTTTTCTGCTGCTGTTTTACCATATAGTGCGTGGTTTAGCAGATCTTTAGCTGAGCTGTATCTTGATATGTGATAAAACATATCGGTGTAGATTTTCACAGTAATGAACCAGCTGTCTTCTCCTAGTTTGTTTCTCTCTCTCGTCACTTGCTAATTCTTATGTTCTGAGTGCTTATTTTTTTTGTTTTGTTCTACTTACCACATTTTTTACACTTAAACCAGTGTGTGGCGTTCTAGTGATTTTTAAGCATTTTTACCAGTATCATAACGTTTGACAATGTAGGCGTTAATATGGCTTTATTTTGTGAATAGTGTGAAATACAGGAGGTGAAAGATTATGCAGAAAAATACCTCATTCTTACATAAAAGGTCTCACATCTGTTCTGTGCTCATTGATAGATCTTGGGGAGATTTCAGTTATTTCTTCTTCTTTTTTTGAGACAGGGTCTCGCTACGTATTTCAGGCTGGCCTCAAACTCTCAAAAGGCGACCCTCCTGCCTCAGCCTCCCAAGTGCTGGGATTATGAGTGTGGGCCTGGCTGCCTTCTTATTTTTGAGTTTTCTTTTCGTGCTCTTCAGAGGGTTGTAAAGTTGATTAATACATATTCTTCATGTATCAGTCCCTGATTTTTTTGTCAGTATACATGGTGTGTGAAAAGAATCTTAAGAATCTGAATGTAAGTGTGAAGTCAGAGTTGCTGCTTTGTTTGGCTCACTGTGCCCGCTCTGTCAGCAGCGCCCCTAGGAGAGCTCTGGACTCCGTCGGGAGACTACTGGAATGCTGGTGCGTTTGGGGACTTTGCTGTGACCATTAGTTTGGGGGCTTTCATTTGTTTCTGAAACTTGTTTCCAGGCGAGAGAGTCAAGTCGTGTTTGCTTTAAAGAAATCTTTTACGCGTTTGTATCCCCGCGAATACACACATACTGACTGGCTTCCAGCCGTGAGCAGGGCTGGCGTGTGGCCATCCCCATTTGTGCCCGGCCTGCTTCTGGCCGGCTTCAGAGCCTGCTTCCTGTTAGAGTGTGGAGGTGACTTGAAGAAGGCCGTGCATTTCTTGGCCTCGAGTGTCCTTTCTCAGAGAGGCGTTGGACGTCAGCTGCACTGGGTACTTAAGCGACAGAAGTGTGTTAGTGCTGGCCTTCCAGACAGTGGCGTCCGTGACAGGGCCGTCAGCGGGCTGCTGTTAAGAGAGCGCAGTGGCCCTGTGGCTCGCAAACAGCACTCTTGCTGGCAGGAGTGGAAGCCCCGAGGGCGGCAGAGGGGTGCGCTCTCAGGTGACCCCGCTCACCCTGGCCCAGCTCCGAAGACCCCACTCCAGCACCATCGCCTCGCAGGTTAGGGGGCCGCAGACGTGCACTCCGTGATGTGCGACAGTAGTAACTTGGGTAACGGAATGAAAATTTTATTTCCTTATGCCTGTTTTCTTGAAAATGAGGTTTTTATTAAATACTTCCCCCTCCGAATTAAAATTTTAAAACTGCAGGTCGTTGGAAGACGTGATAGCCAGCTAACGGTCACACACAGCTCCCTGGGCCTCCCTAGTGCTGCCCTGGAGCTGGCTGTTAGCCGGAAGCTCTGCGCTGCCCGCTCCCCCACTCCCGCCCGCCTGCAGCCCTGGTACCCTGAAGCCAGGTGCAGGTGGGTTGTTCAGTCGTGCTGGCTCTGTGGCTAATTCGGTCGCCTGCCCTCTGTAACTGCCTCTCCCACCACCATGGCTTGGCCGGAGTGCTTGCCTGTGGTTTTTGCTCTCGTAAGTAAAGCTGATAAAAATGTTCATGTTGGGCCAGGGATTTAGCTCAGTGGTTCTGCCGCCTGCCTTACAAGCATGAGGACCCGAGTTCAATCCCCTGTACCAAAAAAAAAAAAAAAACCAAAAAAAACTGCTCATGTACAGGGCAGAGAAGGTAATGTGTATGAATAGCCACAGTTTCATATTTTCCTTGTAATTAAATCTTCTGTAAAAAGTTGTAACATAAATTTTGTACTTTGTGAAAATTCATTGAGTTACATGCTCCTGTGTACTTTTCTGTAAATATGTTATATTTAAATACCTTAGAAATAATAAGATTTTCTTTTCCCCTCTGGGGTTTAGGTTGGATTCAGATGCCGAGGACACAGTACTTCCTCAGAAAGAAGACAGAATTTGCAAAAGAGACAAGACAATAAGCACTTAAACCCTAGTCAATCCCATAGAAGTGACCCAAATTCTGAGTCTTTATATTTTGAGGTATATTTTTCAAACTATGTTTATAAACCATTATAGAAAACATTCCCGTAAGAAACTTAATTTGTGATTGTAAATGTAACTTTTTGTCTTAACATGTGCCACCAAAGTTATCAGCTCATTTTTTCCCCTTGTTATATTGAGTCTGACAACTCCGTTTATGTTTATAAAGTTTTGCCAGGCATGTTCATTTTGAGGTGCTGTGTACAGGTAGAGCCTAATTCATGTGGACCTCCTCCGGTGTGAGACATTTTCTCTCCCTTTTTGTTGTTTTTCTGTCTGCTCACGAGGCTTTTCAGATTTGAATAGTTCAGTGTAGTTATTTGTACTGGGAGGAGGAGAAGGGGTACTCCTTTCTGTGATAGTGGACAGTTTATGCCACGGCCCCTACTGTGCACCCACCCCGTTGGCAGCTGCCCGCCCAGGTGTGAAGCCAGGGAGGTGGACGGGCATGCTTTGGGGAGGGTCCCGCTGGTGGCACACGGCCACACCCGGGACACTTGGGCCAGAGTTGGGAGTAGGCGCCTGGCCCCGAATCATATTCAGATGGTCTGAAAGAACCGGCAGAATCTGGTGTAAGAGACATCTTTAGGAATATTTGTGTGACTCATTTTGGTTGGATCATAGATTCTATAAAGTGGATTAACATTTGGAGACTAAACTGGGTAGAAATGGAGAATATGTTAGGTGAGCTTCGTAACTGACCTGGAGGACTTAAGTCCGTCTCAGTCATTCTGTCAAGAATAGTTTTAAGACATCTGGATGCAGCAGTTTTATTATATACCCTTAGCTGTGTGATGTCAGGTACACGTCATTAAAGATTAGATATAATTTTAAATGTGAAATAGGATGTTGGTTAGGAAATTAATTTAGATAGAAAAGGTTTCTTTTCACTTTTTAAACTTTTAACCTTGCAATTGTATGTGGTAGCATGAGACAGGGAATATGTTAATCAAATTTCTATCAAACGAAGTCTTTTCCAAATGACCTGACTGTGATGCAGTCCGGTTGAATGGTTCTCAGTTGCCTGCTCCTCCAGGGAAGAACTAGAAATGGAAATGGACGAGGACCCTGGAACCTGGCGGCAGACGAGTGGACACAGATGTGCCTCGATGCTAAGACAGCTCAGTTGGCTAGGGGTGCACGTGAGAAATGAGGTTCCTTCTTAAGGCTGCTTTCAAATAGTGTAGTGGTAGGGTACAAAAGTCTCTCCCCATTTTTTATTGTCTCTAAGCAGTGTGAAAAGTTTTTCGTAGGCTTTACCATGGACCCTTTTTACATCACCTGTGAACTCTTTCAGGATGAAGATGGGTTTCAAGACCTGAACGAGAACGGCAGTGCTAAGGATGAGAATATCCAACAGAAACTCTCTTCGAAAGTAGTACGTGGCAGGGCTGGGGACGTAGCTCAGTGGTTCCACCATCTCCCTCGCAAGCTCAGGGTCCCGAGTTCAATCCCCAGTAGCAAAAAACAAACAAACAAGAATTAGTAAGTGACTGTTTTTAAAAAGAGAAGCAGCATGGTTACAGGAAACAGTACGTTTAGCACTTACACTTAATATGATCATTTCTTTTTAAAATAGCCAAAACAAAGATACTTTCCTGTGGAATCTGCAGTCCCAGAACTAGAGAAGAAAGTACCCTTAATCCTCTGTGGAAATCCTTCAGTTAGTTTTCCTCGGCGGGGTCTTGCTTTTCTTCAGTCAGGGCTCCCGAGAAGCACCACCTGTTGCGTTGTGCTGCTGCGTCCCTTCTTCCCCTGTCTGTGAAGGTCCCGCTTCTCCACAGTTCTCACAGTGTGGCATCCTCGGAGAGTCTGGTGCGGCTTCCCAAGGGGGTCCCACCTTCCCAGGAGCGCTGACGGGGTTGGGGTCACTGACAGACGCTTTTCTGTGCTTCCCGTAGTTGGACGATTTACCTGAAAACTCTCCGATCAGTATCGTTCAGACTCCGATTCCCATCACCACCTCTGTCCCTAAACGTGCGAAAAGTCAGAAGAAGAAAGCTTTGGCTGCAGCTCTTGCCACAGCTCAAGAATATTCAGAAATAAGTATGGAGCAAAAAAAATTACAGGTCTGTAGTGGTTTTTAGAACAGCTGTGTTCAGGTTTGGTGGGACGGGTAGGAGCTGCAGTAACTCATCACGCTTTCATCTGGTGACAGCATAAACGCTTTCTCTCGACTCCTCAGGAGGCCTTATCGAAAGCAGCTGGGAAAAAGAACAAAACCCCGGTGCAGCTGGATTTAGGGGACATGTTAGCAGCTCTGGAGAAACAGCAGCAGGCAATGAAGGCCCGGCAGATCACCAACACCAGACCTCTGTCCTGCACGGGTGAGCGCGGGAGCCTCGGCGTTCCCTGTCTGGCTCTGGCAGCATGCTGTGGTGTTGTCGGTCTAAAGTGTGCGTGTGTGTGTGTGTGAGAGAGAGAGAGAGAGAGAGACTGCTCCAGCCTTGAGACTGTCTGCGTCCCTTCCCTGCACATTCAGGCCTTCACCATCAGCACACCCACTCTACTCTGAAAACCTGTCGTAGGTCCTCGGCAGCCCTCCTGTCAGCCCAGCAGCGCCATCCGTGCGGAGTCCTCCTGCCTGCTGCCCACCCCGCTCCCCAGCTCGTCTAGGTACAAGCCAGCTCGGATCCCTGGAGGGCTCAGCACTCCCGGGGCTCCTCCTCTCTAGGAGCAGAGCCAGAGCCCTGCCCGAGGTCACACATTCGCTGGCCTGGATCTCCTGGCCCCCAACACACGCAGCCCTGGCCGCGTTTGCTGTGCTGTGTCATCCCCAGCTCGCTCGGCCGGCGCCTCTGGGCTCGCCTTCCCTTCCTGGAGTGCTGCTGCTTCCGAGGAGTTCCTCAGATCTCTGCTTAAAAGTCCGTGGCGTGCATTGTGAACCAACCATAGTGTGTTCTTCTTCAGAGGTTAAAAGAAAAATCACAAGCGATTTGGCACTTTCAACTGTTAAATGACCCAGTTGAAATTAAATGGCAGCAGATTAAATGGCACAGATCAAACTGTGCGTGCGAGTACATGCGTGTGGAGAATGGCCCGGCTTTGTACCGAGGCAGCGGTTACCATTCTAACAAACCTTGGCAGATTGAGTGTTCTCCCAGGCCCTAACGCGGGCGCTCATTTCCTTAGTCTTTGTCGTAGAGGTTGAGGAATAGGACGGGAAGGGAAATGCATCAGTGAAAAGCATGAATACTGAGAGGCAGGTTGCATTTCCTGTGCATTCTGTTAAGGGACTGTTGACCGGACAGGAAGATAAGTAGCCTGTGTGCAGGATCTTTGCAGCTGCAGCTAGCTACCAACCCAGGGCACGCTCCGCGGGGCCTTAGCAGAGGTAGTGCAGCACGTGTGCCAAGCTTCAGCGGGCACGGTTGTGATGGGCACGCAGCAGTGCCCTTTCCCACCTTCCCAGGTGAGCGGCCTGGCTTGGTCGCTAAAGCCAGGGTCAGGGGTGCAGGGTGTGTGGGTTTGCATCCTGCTCTGCTCTGTGTTTCTTTGGGAAGTCGCCTAGCCTCCTTCTGCTTCCCTTCTACAGGAAGTGGGGGTGGTGACAGTACCTCCTACGGACCTTTGGAGGGAGGTAAATGGGAAGATGTGTGTACTGCGCCCGAGAGCCTGGGCTCTAGTCACTCAGCACCTGTAACTAGGATGTGGGGATGCAGGACTCGGCAACCTGTTCTTCATTACGATTTTGATTCATTTACAAATGTTAACTTATAAAACCATAAGTACAGGTATCAATGCGCAGAGCATTCTGTTAGGAGCTTTGGGATTATAGAGATGATCAAGATACGCTTTTGTTCGGAAGCTTGTAATCTAGGGGGAGAGAGACACACGCAGACACTAGCCGAACACGGTGCCTGAGGGGAAGCATCGGCAGAGTGCCTGGGCTGGCAGAGCAGTGACTTCTGTCCACAGGGAGGTGGGGAAGGTATCAGTGGCCCCGGAACGGGGTGCTGAGGGGGCATGGGTGCTTGACACAGAGACAAGATTAACCTGAAGCAGGAAGATCGTAAGTCTGAGTCCAGCCTGAGTAACTTATTGAGACCCTATCTCAAATAAAAAATAAAAAAGGCCTGGGTTACAGCCTAGTACCAGGAGAGGGAAGAGGAAGAGGAGAGAGTGATCTCAGAATGTCACCCGCATTTAAAGCGGAAAGTGGACGGACATAAAGAAAATTACTTTGAGAATGCAGAGGTGTCAGGAACAGGGAGGGCTGTGTGGGGCACAGGGAGGAGCCAGAGGCTGCATCCCCGCCTGGAGCGCGTGGAACAGGAGGACTGAGGCCTGGCCTGTGGCTGCTGCCTGCGTGCAGTCCTGGGTGTCAGGAAAAGCGGCTCGGGGTAAACCGTGGGATGTCGGACTCCAGGACAAAGGCAGGAAGAACCAGGAAGAGCCGACAGGGTCGGGGCTGCACTCTGCGGTCAGGCTTCCAAGCCCAGGGTTGATTCTCAGCACTGTGAAAGAAGAGACTGGAATGTCCTGGGTCAGCTGCTGAAGGCGACAGGGGAGTGTGCAGACTGCGTCCTCCTGGCTGTGGAGGCCATTTGTGCTGTGGACGGGGACCCCGTCAGGAGCGGCCTGGGGTGGAGGCTATCTCAGGATAGGCGAGGACCCCTGCTGCAGGACGCAGAAGGGCAGCAGTGCTGAGTGGTACCGAGAGTCAGCTGAGGACAGACCAGCATGCTTCATCTGCGGGGGAACGGGAGGAGAGGAAGCTGGGGGTGTGGCGACACACCACTGGGAGGCTGAGGCAGGAGGACTGAACTTTTGAGCCCAGCCTGACGATGGAGCTCGGTGGGAAGACCTGGGGCCAATCTCCAGTACCACCCCCGCCCCAGGAGAGGCAGCTATGAAAGTGTCTCTCTGGAGAAACAGATCGCAGATGGAGCAGGCGTAGGAGAGGTGCTGAGTTTGGAAACCTCGCAGGTAGAATGGTTCTGAGTGAACGCGAGTTTCAGGACTGCCCTGCCTGGCGCTTGCTGCCCCAGAGTGGGACGGCACCCTGGCTCGTGGCCTTGGCTGGGCCTCACCTCACAGCGGTGAAGAGTGGACAGAGCTGCATCTCAGGGACGCTGCACAGTGGGGCATCGCTCCTGCTGTCTCTCCTGATGTCGGTTTTTTCCACAGGAAGAAGATGTTTTTGTAGATTTATCATTGAAATTGTAAAAGTATTTGGAACTGGCTGTATAGTAAAATTATAGTAGTAATGTTCTTGTTTGTTTTTAGTGGTTGCTACAGCTTCTTTTCACACTAAAGACTCTGCTACCAAAAAACCTTTAACCAAAACTCAGCCCTGCTTGACGTCCTTTAGTTCTTTGGACATTACTTCCTCTAAAGCAAAAAAAGGAAAAGAGAAGGAAATGGCAAAGCTAAAACGACCCACAGCACTTAAAAAGGTAAACCAAAATTTGGCCATCTTTTACCTTAAGGGCGTATAAAAGATTTAGGTCTTCCTTTCCAAATGAGTTTTGGCGTTCTAGCCGTAGACGATCGTGAAGTGTCCGTGTCCGTGCACCTTTACAATGAGTAGTGTGTTCAGCACTGGGGATGCCTCTCTGTGCAGAATGAATTTTTCCTGTAAGGTTTATAAAAAACCACTTAAAACCTTTGCTATCCCTTGGAACCAGAAACCCTGGCCTTGGTTGGTTGTTTTTGCCTGCCTGTGTTTTGGTTGTGTCGTAGCCCCTGGGATTGAACCCAGGGCCTCACAGAGCCCAGCAAGCGGCTTGCGCTGAGCTGTGGCCCCAGCCCCCGCTGTAGATCTTGGTTCAGCTTCACCGCACGCACTCCACTCCCTGCACACAGTTCAGGCAGACATTTTTGTCCTCCTCTTCCTCCCCTGTGCATCGAGGGTCAGACACCTGCTCCGCCACCTCCCCGCTCTTCTCAGAATGCAGTAACCCGTGTCCAGACAGTTGAGAAGTGTGAAGTGGAAATCAGATGCACTCTTCAAGCATTTTTGGGAAACTCGGTATATCCGATCGGATTTAAAGAATGAAGTACAGCAGATGTGATTGGATACTGGCTATTCTAGCCTCTCTTTATTTTGGGTACTGTATTTTCTTCAGCTTCTGGTGTCTGAACTTTCTTTACCATTTTGGGGGCCAGTTTCTGTGTAGCCAGGGAAACACACAGCCACCCACAGTCTCCAGGCCTGCGTTTGTGTGGAGGATCACACCTCTGTGTTAGATACAGTGGACCTTGACTTATGAACGCTATCCGATCTCAAGGGCTGGTTGGAACTCAGGTTGGTTGTAAGTCAGTACTGCTGAGATCTGGATGTCACCTGGGTACACGCTAGGATAGCAAGAGGCAGATGAGTCTTCCCTTCACCTAACCAACCCAAGTTGTTCGCATGTCAGGGCGATCGTAACACGAGGGTCCACGGTCTGTTGCTGTTGTCCAGTGGAGTTGAAGAGCAATTGGTTAAGAAGGCTGTAATGACTTTCAGGTTATTTTGAAGGAGAGAGAGGAAAAGAAGGGCCGCTTAGCTGTGGACCACAGCCTGCTGGGACCCGAGGAGCCTACAGAAGCGCCTTTGGATTTGATGGACGACTCTCCGCAGGAGGTCCCCTCCCAGGAAGGTAAGATGGGCGCCCAGGGCGGGGCCCGGTGAGGGCAGGGGATGTCTGGGCTCCGGGACAGCACGTGACTCGGTTCGTGGGTGTGATTTGGAAATGGGGACAGGAGCGCAGTTAGCCAGGGATTTGACTGTTTGGGGAAACAAACACGTCCACGTCGGCGTCCGCCTCGATGCCGTCCCTTGTGAGCAGTCTGCTCTGCTTGTGCTCTCCGTGCGCTGCTCTGGCTGCCCAGAGGCGGCGTCAGGCTGTAATCCCAGAGGGCCCGTGACCCTGCGCGGCCGCTCGCCTGGGGTTCTCAGAGAAAAAGAGGGAGAGAGAAAGGGAAACAGCCATGCCTTGGAGGTGGGATGGGAGGCCTGGTCTCCCGAATGTCCAGTAGAGGGACAAGGGCAAGTTTGTGAGTTGATGGCAACTCTACGTTTCAAAAATGAGAAAGTGACCATTTACTTTTGTAGTACTAGTGATGTCATACGCGTACCTAAACAGCGTGACCAGAAACTGTAATGCATTTTTTGTACTTCCTGTACTAAGGCATGCTGGGCAGAGACATTTTGACTTACTGTTTTACAAAAGAAGGCCAGGTTTAATAAAGATAAGAGCTTGCGTGTCTGAGTGACGTGTGCAGCACCATCACAGCACACCCCAGAGGAGGCTGGGAAGCTGCGAGGTGCTCAGCGTCTGTCCCCGTGGCTTCGGTCCCGCCAGCCGCCCTCCCCACACAGCCTCCTGGCCTGGACTGCGGCCCACCACGGAGCACCACGTCCGAGTCACAGGTGGCCCTGACATCACAGGATCCCACAGAACGTCCCCGGCTGTCCAGGCCCACACTCGGCCTGAGCCGCGAGCTGGACTCACCCGGTCCAGAGCGTTCGGAACCAGATAGGGAAGTCATCACTAGATCTGCTACCTGGAGGTTGAGCTCCGTATTTTACATAATTTCCTTTAGGCTTGAAAGTGGTTTCTTGTCAGTATGCGTTGGCAGGGAGATGGCTAAAGGGGCACGTTATGTAGTTGGTTTGTGTCACCTTTGAGGCTTCAGCCCGGAATTGTTACACATCTTCAGAACTAAGATCTCAGCTGGTGTGGTGGTTTGCATCTGTGATCCCAGTGCTCGGGAGGCTGAAGCAGGAGGATTGCCATGAGTTAGGCTGGGCTACACACCGAATTCAGGGCCAGCCTAAGCTACACAGCAAGACCCTGTCTCACCCCCACCCTGCAGAAAAAAGTACCATTAGAGCAAGACCCTGTCTCAAAAAAAAAAAGCACATGAGCTCACTTCCAGAACTCATGATTCGCTACCTTTCATAGGGGTCTTTTTTGTTGAGTCATTGTGTTGATCTTCTTTGCTTTTGGGAAATAAATACATGTGCACAGTGAGCATAGGATTGCAAAGCAGAGTTGGTCCGTAAGGGTTTCGCTGCAGTCAGTGACGAGCACATAGGATTCCAGCAAGTAAGATTCAGCCCAGACAGACAGCGCCGGCACCTGGAGGCTCGGGGCTCGTTTAGATCTGGTTACACATAGATTAGGCAGCAGCGCGTCCTTGCTCTCAGGGAAGTGTGTTAACTTCTGGGCGTCACTCCCCTAGGACGTGTGGTTCGGACCCCCCTGTATTCTCAGCCCAGCGTGATCCACTTGGATTCGGGCACGTCCATTCCCCACCAGGTGTGCAGGGAACGTCTCACGCGTGTGCAGTCACGGCGGGGTGGGCGTTGGTCGCTCCACATGGAGGAGCTCCAGCCCGAGTTGGCCTGTTCCGCGCAGAAGCGCAACTAAGGGTCCAGGGCTGGCGGCCTGGACCCCGGAAGCCTGCAGAACCAGGAGGTGTGCAGGGCGCGGGCAGGAAGACTGTCAGAGGTTCCCGAGGAATAGGTGGGAAGCAGGGGTGAGTTACGTGGCGGGGGAGAGGTGCAGACCTTTGTTCTCATCAGCGTGTGCCATGGAGTAGATCCCCTGGCCATGCAGGTGAGGCTTCCAGACTGCGCTTGCTTTTTCTCTTCCTGTGTATGCAGGTATAATTTCGTAGCTATTAGGAAACTTTACATTTTGTTGTGTACGAGCAGCGTTTGGGCTAGGAAGAATGCCTGGCTCGTCAGCCTGTGACCAAGGACAGCCTCGTTTGGGGTGCATGGGACTCAGTCTGGGCTCTTTCCCCTCTTGTGTGCGCACAGATAACGGCCTGAGCATGCCCAGTGACACCTCGCTGTCTCCCGCGAGTCAGAACTCTCCGTACTGCATGACGCCGGTGTCCCAGGGCTCGCCTGCAAGTTCCGGGATAGGCAGCCCGATGGCGTCGTCCACAATCACCAAGATCCACAGCAAAAGATTCAGAGAGTAAGTTCTCCCCACGTCCCTCAGCCCGAGCAGGGCAAGACGCTGTGAAGCGTCGTCTTCCTTTCCTGGCGGGGGAGCTGGTGTGCCTGCACAGGGGCATTGTTATGCCGAGAGCTGGGCTGTGGGACGGTCAGCGCACTCTTTCCTTCCGGGTGTCTCTCCGTGGGACCTGGCCTCTATCTACGGAGTGTTGCACTGTGTGTCTCTCCCTCTTCAGATGCTTCTGCTCTTTGGAGCTGTTGTTGGGACCTTAAAAAGCTCTCTGACCAGTTCAAAACATGAACCAAGGTACTGAGACATGTTACAGGAAATGTACCTCCCACCGAAAGCGCTGTTACCCTGTTTCCTTTTAACCCACGGCCACTGCCCTGCACACCAGGCTAGACTACTTGTTTCAGCTGCTGTGTTTTAGAAGTGAGACAATTAGGGTGTTGCACAGTAGGATACCCCATCTGTGAATAACCTTTAACAGTTATTGCTGTGAGATTTAGGGTTTTTAATGTTTGTGTGGCGAGCTAGTTTTCCCTTTAAAAATGATGCTTGCGGGCCATACAATATTTTATATATATAATGTAGGACACACACTCACCAAAAAATAAAACCTTTCTCCTGACTCAAGGTGACCCATGGGACTCAATTTGCAGCTCTACAAAACTTACATGATGAGCCGAGCATGGTGGTGCACGCCTGTAATCCCAGCACTCAAGAGGCTGAGGCAGGAGAATCGCTGTGAGTTCGAGACCAGCCTGGGCTACGCAGTGAGTTCCAGGGCAGTCTCAACTACATAGCAAGACCCTGTCTCAAAAAAACCAAAATGAACAAATAAACAAACGAAGGACATCCCAGGGTGAGAGTGTGCGTACTTTGTGAGAGTCCTAGCCATGCCAGTTCTGTTCCTGTTCTTAGTCCATTGTTTTGTGTGAATACGTCTTGCCTAGACGTTAATTAAATGTCAAATAACACGATGAGCAACTGGAGAACCAAATGTTACATATGTCTGGCACAGCTTGAAAGGGAGAAGGGAGAAGATTGCATGTTTGATGTCCTGTTCCTTAATTTCTAATACTTTATACAGTCCACCCTTTCTCCGTCTATCCGGTGTGTCATCTCCTCTGAATTAGTGCCACGCTCCTAGGTATTTAAGCATTGTTCACATAAAGTTCTCAGTGCAGTATTTTTTGATATTAAGACAGTCAGGCCTAGATTTTCCCAGCGTAAAACTTAAAAATTTGAATTTGCTTGCCTGTTTATTACTAGATAAGGTTAGCCAATCTCCTTGTTTGATACCTGCATATGGTGAAGATGAAGGATGAGAATGAAAAAGATGGGAGAACATACAGAAAATGCCCTGGGTGACTTTCCCATCGGAGAATGAGGATTCCAAGGGCTCACGCTTGCCGCGTTGCCGTCCGTGACTTCACAGAGGGCTCTCGGGAGCCCTTGCCCAAGGGCGTGTGATGTCCACCCAGAGGCCTCGTTGGTTTGGGCTTCACTTGCACTGTTGAGTTCATCCTCCGCAGCTCTAGATTTTCAGTCAAAGGAGCACCGAGGCCTCCTGCCACGCTTTATGGTTGAGAAATGCCCAGAGATCATCCAGGCTGAGGGGGTGAAGCGATGGTGTTCAGACGTTTAGGTAGAAGTTACGTTTCTTTCCAACCAGAAACACCTTTAGTAGTCATTGGATGACATAACTGTGCATCTCTACCGAGAACATTTTATCTGTTACTCTCTAATAGCAGGGCAACATTGGTTTTAGAAATTTAACAATTAGGAGCTTAGATAGTACTTCCCTGAAGTTGACCTGTTCTTTACTAAAAGCCAGATTGTTGGAACTCAGAAAAGATAGTCTGTACACTTCTGGTTTTCTACCAATCTGGAGGGTGTAGAAGTTTGAAGGACTTGACTTTTCGCAAAGCCTCCTGCCGGATGTACTTTCCTCACGTAGTTGTGTGATCGCAGGAAGATGACTTGAGGAGTCAGCTGTCGTTCCCTTCACAGGTACTGTAACCAGGTTCTCTCCAAAGAGATCGATGAGTGTGTGACGCTCCTCCTGCAGGAGCTGGTCAGCTTCCAGGAGCGCATCTACCAGAAGGACCCCACGCGGGCCAAGGCCCGGCGCCGGCTGGTGATGGGGCTGCGGGAGGTCACCAAGCACATGAAGCTGAGCAAGATCAAGTGCGTCATCATCTCTCCCAACTGCGAGAAGATTCAGTCCAAAGGCACGTACACTCTGCTTCGCTCACTCTGCTTCTGCCCCGCTTGATGGAACTGCAAGAGGGTTTTAAATTAAAGAAGCGTCTTTCTCTGAGGAGTATAGTTTTAAAGCAAAATATCCATCGTGCTTGAGAAAAGAAAATGAAATCTTTGAGTACCTCAAGTGAGGCAGGATCCCTGAGAGTGGGTTGTGAAGCCCTCGCATGAAATCCTGTGAAGGGTTTGCACTGGGCCTGTCCAGGGTCCCCTCACGGTGACCAACGTGGGGGCCGGTCAGGCTGTGTTTCTGTGCCTCTAATATGCCTGCTTTTATGTTTCATATATTACCTTGCACATGACTCACACCATCAGAGAAGGGAGGGTCCCCGCCCTGCCTGTGGTATGGATCTGTCTCAAGCTGGCAGTGACGTGCCCAGGACCCTGTGTCTGACCCACTGCTGGGGATGCTGCACCATGGCACGTGTCCTCATGGGTCCTTTATCCCTGGAGAAGCCACTTGAGCCGGATTGGGCGAGACAGATGCACCACACAGCCCTGGAGAAGTCCCTGTGTGGCCAGCCCTGTTTGCTCTGCCCTGCACTGTGTATGTAGATCACAACCTGAGCAGAAAGGGTAGGAAGAGAAATTAGGTGCTCTTAATAATTTCTGATAATCTCTTCACGATGCTCGTTAAATTGTATGTATGTGCTATTTATATGAATAGTTTAACTGCAGTGCCAGCATGGAACAAGGACTGTACAGTGAGCTAGGTACGTCCCCAGCCCTTGATTTTTTTACTTTGAGTCGGAGGGCACCACTCAGTCACCCAGCTCGGTTGGACTTTGTCTCAGCCTCTCCGTGTGCTAGGGTTACTTGCAGGCCTGGCTTCCATTGCGAGTTGATTCCTACCCCCTAATCACTGAGGAAAGACAAAAGTTCTGAAGTTTTGAAGATGTTTGAAACTTTAACGGGGGAGAAAGAAAGCTGTGTGTCTGTGTGCTGCCCCGGCAGGAGGCCTTGTGTCACGGCCTTGGCGCTGCTGAGGAAGGAAGTAACCGGAGCCTCTGTGTGCTGCTCCCTCAGGTGGCCTGGACGAGGCGCTGTACAATGTGATAGCCATGGCACGGGAACAGGAGATCCCTTTCGTGTTCGCGCTTGGAAGAAAAGCTCTGGGGCGCTGCGTGAACAAGCTGGTTCCTGTCAGTGTAGTGGGGATCTTCAACTACTTTGGCGCTGAGGTGAGAATTTTGGGTCACACTTCTCTCGCTCCCCCACTTCCACACACAGTGCCTTTCTGTTAACATGCGGCAGTGTTGCATTAAAGTGTTTAAAAGTGAGTTGAGGACTCAAAGGGTAAGTGGAAACTCTTGAGTATTGCATTTCCTTTGTGGTGGTGAAAACACTGACATAGGTGAACCCTGCAGCATTTTGAAAGGCTTCGTTTCCTATTTGTGCCCTAGTGGTTTTTGTCCTTTAGGCTCCACTCTGTGGTACTTGGTAATTTATTTAGCTGCTAGTTGAAGATAGCCAATAAAATGTAATGCAGAATCATGTCTTCAGACTCTATGATGGGTACATTTTGTGTTCTAGTTGAGGAAAACAAATCCTTTAATTGAAGAAATTATCCTTTAGAAAATGAAATGCATGCATCTATTTGTCAAAATAGATGTGCACCCGTGATACCTGCACCTCTGGCCGTTGGCTGGCACAGACACCATGAGAGTGATGCCCCTAGGCCCATGGCATTTCAGGGCTGTTTGTTATGAAGTTGATTCCCAACTACTTTGTAATATAATTGGCAGGACATTTCTTCTCTTCCCAGATGTCTTATTACTTTTCTAATTGCTGGGACAAAATACACGATACCCAAGATAAAGGAGGAAAGCTTCCTTTAGCTCACAGTTTGTAGAGGTTTCAGTCTGTAGTCAGCTGGCTTCAAGGCATAGTGACCCCACTCTCAGGACCAAAATCTTTCTTGGATACTTTTCTAGTAAATGCCTGACACCTACAGTTAAAGGAGGAAGGGTTTATTTCAGCTCACAGTTTGCACAGGTTTCAGTACAGAGTCGGCTGTCTCTAAGGCAGGGTGGCATGGCAGAGGGCACCACAGAGGCAAAACAGTCCATGGCATGGCAGGCAGAAGGCAGCACAGCAGCAAGCAACAGCAGCAGCACCACGTGTGCCTTCTTTCTGTCCCTTTATTTCTGTCCAGGGTACAAGCTCATGTATCGGTGCTATCCATACCTGGAGTGGGACTTCCATATCCACACCCTTAATCCCAGTATCCCACCCTCAATCCACATACACAGCCTAATTCAGCCACCTTTGAAACTCCCCATCTACGAGTATGTTAGCCTTTGGGGAAACACCTAGATACAAGCCATCACACCAGCCTTATTATATCTATGTGTATTTAAGTGCTTACTTCCAGTTACCACATTTGCATTCTTTCCATTCTCTCGTCTCCTGCCCATTCATTCTCCTCCACTGCCCATGAAATCATCTGGCCACCGCTCTGTGAATGTGTAGTAGTAAGACTGCTCTGATGGAGCCTGTGTTTTGTGCTGTTGTTGGTCACACTGCTGGAGTGTGGTTTATGTGGATCCCTCCCATTGTGATGGGGTTCTTGGTGGCCGGCCCCTGGTCTCTGCACCCCTGACACCTCGCCCAGTACTTGAACATGAGCAGGTGGGAAATGTTCTCTGAATGCACTATGATCAGTGTGTCTCTACTTGTGCTAGACTGTGTGTGAGGATGGAGGTGACCACTACCTGTGTGGAAAGAAGGGCCGTGTAAGAAGATACCTAGTGAAAAATCTACTCCTGTGTTGGTCAGTTTGGAGTCAATGGGATAAGAAGGGGGGGGGTCAGAAAAATGGACATATTTATTCTTAATTGTATTGGCTTCTTTTTGAACTACCTATGGAAGTTTATTTGTATGCTTTTATGTTACAAAATGTTTGCCAGATTTGTTCACAATTTTTTACTTGCAATCTACTATTTTGAGGTAAGTAAATTATTTAAACCAAAGCATACTCTTACATGGAAATACAAAAGATATTGAGAATATTATTATCTGTTTCCATTCATAGTAATGAAATAGTATACCCAGTTATTCTTCCCATCTGCTACAGCGGATCTTTGCCTTAAGCTTCCCGCCCTTAAGCTTTGCCCTTAAGCTTCCTGGCTCCTAGTAATTTCTGGCTTATTTATATTACAAATCCAATGTTAATCTTAAAATCATGTGTTCAAGTGCCTGTTTTGTGCCTGTTTTGTTTTGTTTTTTTTGAGACAGGATCTCACTGTGTAGTTGAGACTGACCTGGAACTCACTATGTAGCCCAGGCTGGTCTCGAACTCACAGTGATCCTCCTGCCTCAGCCTCCCGAGTGCTGGGATTACAGGCATGCGCTACCATGCCCGGTTCATGCCTGTTTTCTTTATATTGATTGCATTTAAACACAGTTTGTCAAGCACTATAAATATGTATCACTTAGGTGCTATTTTTATGCATCTTCCTTTCTTCTTTCTTCCTCTTTCTCCTCCTTCTCTTCCCCCCTCCCCTCTCCCCTCCTCTTCGTCTTTTTTTTTTTTGGTGGTACCGGGGATCACACAGGACCAAGGCAGGTGCAGGCATGGTGCCACGGAGCTGCATCCCCAGCCCATCCTCCTTTCTCTCTCTTTCTCTGTTTCTCTGTTTCTCTCTCTCTGTCCCCCCCCTCTTCCTTCCTTTCTTTCTTTCTTTTCTTGTACTGGGGATCGAATTCTGGGACCTTGCGCTCGCAAGGCAGGCGCCGCACCCACTGAGCTAAATCCCCGGCCCCTCCTTTGTTTTTCAAAACAGGTCCCGTGTGAGTTCTTGACCCTGCTGGTTGTTCGCACCCAACCCTGTAGAAATGAGCATGGTGAGCAGCATCGGTTACTGTACCTGCTCCTCCACACAGCTTCACCTGTAGCTGGGTGAAGGCATGTGCTGCGCGTGTGTCCTTCCTGAAGTTAATTTTCAGGGACGTTCAACAGCAGCAGAGCACCTTTCGCCTCACTTTGGTCTTCTGAAGCTCTGCACTGAAACAGCAGTGTCTCAGGAAGGTAGCAAGTCGCGCTGTTCTTTTCTTTGTGCATAAGCTTGAGCACACTGTACATGGCCAGGTCATGTTTACCAGGTTTCCTGATTTCATGTCGTGCTTTACTGTGGGGCTGCACCAAAGCCTGTGGTAGGAGCCCAGGAAAGTCCTGGAGTCCGTGGTGAATGTAGAAGCTCGAATTTCCCAGGTTCCCCGGCAGTGACTGCAGTGCGGCACCAACACTGTAATGCCGCTGTGTTGGTGAACACAGACACCCCACACACTCACCGTTTGTTCACGCCAGTCTGGGTTGCACTGATGGAGGAACTTCTGGTTACTAAGCTGCGTGCTCCTGTGCTTTTATGACTGGCCTTGGTCCGGTGTCTCACCACCCATCCTGGGCCCGTTGTTGTCCCCGCGAGGCCTGCCCTGCCTTCCCACACCATCCCAGACTTCCTCGCGGGCTTTTTCCTGTCCTTCCCGAGAGTGGCCACCACGGGGCGCATGCCCTCTGCCTCCCGGACGGCATCCAGCGACGCGCTCCCGCGCTCCTCCCCTCCCTGTTATCTTCCCTCACCAGAGCCTCAGGTCGAAGTCACCGCGCACCCGCTGAGTCTTAGTCCCAGGGCCTTCTGTGCGTCGCCCGCCGTGGCTAGGGGTGGCCTCAGCTGTGCCCACAACAGTGCAGAGTGTTTTGTGAGGGTCTGTGGTTCGCATACAGATTGTGAGACACAGTTGTGATATTCACTGCTGAACACGGTTGTGAAAGCCGCTGACCCACACCCTCGTCTCTGTGCAGAGCCTGTTTAACCAGTTGGTGGAGCTCACGGAGGAGGCCCGGAAGGCCTACAAGGACATGGTGGCGGCCATGGAGCAGGAGCAGGCCGAGGAGGCCCTGAGGAGCGTGAAGAGGGCGCCGCACCACATGGGCCACTCCCGGAACCCGTCCGCGGCCAGCGCCATCTCCTTCTGCAGCGTGATCTCCGAGCCCATCTCTGAGGTTAACGAGAAGGAGTACGGTGCGTGTCACAGCCCTTTGTCCTTCGTGTCCAGCCCGAGGCCCACACGTGCCAGGTGGGCAAGTGCCCGATGCAGAGCTGCTCCCAGCCCTTCCTCTGTTTCCTTTTGAGACAGTCAGGCTGGCCTCAGACTGGAGACTCTCCTGCCTTAGCCTACCACACAGCTGGGATTATGGGTGTGTGCCGCTGTGCCCTGCTCCTTGCGTGTTGTTTCAAATGGCTTAAACTTTGAAATCATTTAAGTGATGAAAGCATTTTGTAAATAACTTTCCACTCTACCTACTATTGGGTTTTTTTCTTTTTTTTGAGACAGGGTCTCACTATGTAGCTCAAGCTGGCCTTGAACTCGCAGAGATACTCCTGCCTCAGCCTCCCTGAGTGCTAGGATTACAGGCGTGCACTACCATACCCAGGTTTTATCCTTATTTTTTTGATTATTCAAAATTTGCTCAACATTTTGGCTTAAAGAATTCCTTTAAAGATGTTCACTAAAGATTAGAATATTTGGGACTGAAACTTTCTGTGAAATCCTGGAGCTTAATCATAGTTCCAAAATCTTTAAATCCAAAAGGCCCAGGGTTCTGAAAAACAGAATGAACTGTACTTGTGACATATCACTAAGTAAAACCAGACAGTTTTATTCTGGCAGATTGTGCTGAGTTAACGTTTTCTGTCTGCTGAGTACAGTGCAGGCCTGGTCACCCCTCAGGCTGATCTCGGAGAGCGGCCACGGCGCATCTGCTTCAAGCGCCATCCTCAGGCAGAGGCCAGCACAGTGCCTGTGAGCGGCCCACATGCTCCCTGCCGCCTGCTCTGTCCCGGCTTCTGTGGCTTCCCGGCTGCCTTGAGCCTCCCGGCCCTCTCCCTCCTCTGCCGCTCCTCCTTCTCTCGTCCCTTTCACCCCCTTGGGCTGCTTGCCCTTTTTTCTCGCTGGCGTGATCCTGGCCGGCTTAGGCAGTGGCTTGCTGCCCCACCCCGCGCGCCCCTCCCCGCGCCCGTCCAGTCCCGCAGTTAGGTCATGGGCAGTGCTTGCCGTCTGGCTCCTGGCTCCAGGCTGCAGGCCCCAGAGCAGACCCGGTGGCAGCCAGCGGCCGGCAGCCTGAGGGTGCCTCGCTGGTGGGCAGTGTCCTGGCCGCAGAGGGGTGGGCGTTCCTTCTGCTCGAGGGTTAACTACAGGGAAAGAAAGCGGAGAAGGGCGCCAGCTGCGCCTGCGAGAGCAGCCCTTGCTTGCTGTGTGGTGAAACCGGATGGTGAAGGCAAGGTCAGTTTCTCAAGCTTTGGCTGAGGCAGGAGGATCTCAAGTTGAGGCCCAGCCTGGGCATCTCAGTGACTCTGTGCCACCGGGTCTCAGAACAGAAAGGGCTGGGGACGGAGCTCAGTGCAAAGGCCCTGGGTTCAGTCCCCAGAACTGCAAGAAAAAGAAAGACAGGGAATGCTAGGGTGTGAGCAGATGAGCCGTAAGAGGCCCTGGGGTGGCACCTGCAGCGCTGCGTTAGTTCAGAGACGGCGCTCGGCACACCCTGCTGGGGACTCTGCAGGACTGATTCACCTCCGACCCCAGGTTCTTGCTAGGAAAAAAACTGATGGGAGGAAAAAGAAATGCGCCTCTACGACTTAGGCCCTGAAAGGTTTCTTTGCAGCCTGGAATCGTGAGCATCTCCGCTCACTTCCTCTGGTTCCCAGCGCTGTGGGGATGGCGAATGTGGGCCCGGGGGAGCCAGGCCCTAGGGCCGAGAGGGAGGCTCCTGGAGGGCCGTGCCCGGTGTGTGCCGGGGCGTGGGCTGGCCAGGGTGAGAAGCAGGAGTGGGGACGGGAGGCCGTCGCTGTGCAGCCCACGGCGGTGTCAGGTTGAGGCCGTTTGTGTGGGGAGGACTCTGTTTCAGTACCGCCTGTAGGATCCGTAGACCCCTAAGTATGAGACAGCAGCCATGCAGCTGAACATCATACTGAAAAAGCGAAAGTAGGGGGCAGAGCAGTTCCACCTCCTGGTTCCCAGTTCCTGTTTGTGCTCTACACCGATTTGGGGACAGGAAAGATAGTTTTAGGGCATCACCACTGTGCCGTGTGCAGTCTTCTGGTCCTTCCGAATCACCGAGTGAGCCGAGCTTCGCCGTTCACAGATGTTCGAACTGCCGGAGTGGATGTATTGTTAGAAACGGTCCAGCCTCCAAGCATAGCTGAGGTCCCTGCCGCCTGGACGGACTCGGGAAGTCAGAGCGCGTTTTGCGGGCGCCTGGGCTGTGGTGTGAGCTTGGGCGCTCCCCGAGGTCACCAGAACCCGGCCGGCTCACTGCTGGCACGGGCTGCAGGGTTTCGTGCGTGAGCTCGAGGGCCCTGCGGTGTGAGCTCTTTAACTCGCGCCTGCCTCCTTGTGTGTTTTGAGCGTACATCTCATTTTCCCTTCATAACATTTAAACTGGTACAAGAATAAGCTAAAATTTGAATTTTTCCAACCAGTGGCTGGGCCAGCTTTTTCTCAGTCTTCTTATTCCGTCTTCCTTTTGGGTTTTTCAGTTCCATGATTCTGAATCCTTATTCTGGTTTATAAAAAATGTGTTTGCAATTTGTAGAGACAAATTGGAGAAGCATGGTGGAGACCTCAGATGGGCTGGAGACGTCGGAAAACGAGAAGGAGGCTTCTGGCCAGCCGCGCACTTTGGGAAAGCCTGGCCCCGCGGGGAAGCAGCCG